TTGCTGGATATTGCTGAACCTCGTGCCCCCCCATCGTCGTCAATGCTGGATACGCCTCGAGATCATGATCACGGCTCGCTCCAGAAGAGACGTCCGTCAACTTAGCGGGAGGAGCGTGATTATGAAAAGGATGAGGTGGCTAGCGCTTGTCGCAACCCTCAGGCATAAGTACTATGCTCACTAAGCTCCTGCCAGACGTGTTGCTCTCCGATTGCTCTTCAGTCGTGCTCATATTCCGTTCCTCAGTTTGTGCCTCTTCCCCAACGCTCGACCTCCTCATCCCCTCCGTCCTGTTGCTGCTTCCCGTCTACATCGATTCCTGTGAGATTGATCCCACCGTCGTCTTCCCTCCTCTTCGGTCTCCCCTGCTCCTCATCCGCCTTGCGTCCACCTCTTCTGCCCTCCTCTCTCAGCTCACAATGTCTTGTGACGTCTGTGCTTGATCTGCTGCTCTCCCATAACACGCCTCCTCCGCCGCCAGCATCCACCCTCCTCAACATCCCACCAAAGACACACCATCGACCCAGGGCTAACGCTCACGACAGTAATCAAAACCATCACCATGTCTCATTTCGCCACCCCCCCCCGTGGCTCGATGCGCGGTGCTGCAACTCATTGTTCACAAAGCCATCCTTGTTTGAGGATCCCTTTTCTTGTCTGCTTCCGTTCTCCCTTTGCCCCATTCTGATCACTCCTCCCTTCGAGCTCCTCGTGTCTGTCTCCTCCCCTCCTCCCTCCTTCTCCTCCTCGTCCTCAGTATCTCCCCCGCCCTCCTCCTGGGCAACGCGGGCAAGCGCGCAACAGAAGTTGCTTACCACGTGTCCGGGCCTTGCACTGCAGAGATGATGTGGTGTCGCTGCTCTCGCCTGAGCTTTATCGTGTGCTGAGTGCGCCGACATATTATTCCTCCTCCTCCTCCTCCTCCTCCTCCTCCTCCTCTTGCTCCTCATCCGTTCCTTATCATGCTACACCTCTCGCCTTCCCCCTTCATCTTCCTCATTCGTCTTTTTCCTCAGCTTCCTACCCCCTGATCTGCGTCCTCCCCCTTTTCGCATTATCCTCTTCTCTGTTCCTGGCATCCCGCACATTCATCCCACATCCCCCTCTACTCCTCCCAATCACTCTCCTCCCTCTTCACCCTCTTCCCTCTTCACACTCCTTCTCGTCCTCCACCTCCTTCTCCTCCTCTTCGTCCTCGTACTCATCCCTCCTCCATCCTCCTCAACCTCCTCGCTGCTCTCATTCTTTCTCTGCCCGTCGCTCCGTGCACCTCGATCCTCCCAATGCCCCTGTTCCTCCGGAGGTCCCCCCCCCCCCAGAGGCCCACACACGTCGTTCCTCCCCGTGCGCCCGTTCCCCTCCCCCCTAGGCATCCCCCCAATGTTGGATCCTCCGTTCCCCGGGTTCTCCTGGAGGCCCATAGAGGGTCGAAGACCTCCCTGCATCACCGTCCTCCCGCTGTACGAACAGGGCACATCGGGTGCACACCACCAGCACCACCTTGCGCGGCCATAGTCATTCTGGGCCCTGCCATGGCGCTTGCGCTGTCCTGGTCGAGGCCATGGACATCCTGGGGCCCAAGCTGGCCCTGGCTGGGCAGGACAGTGACACAGACGGGGGATCAAACGATACCGCTACCCCTACTCCCTGGACCTCCCCTGGTGTGCGTTCCGACCAGAACTTCGAGGCGAATTCAGCCGTGGCGACGAGGGTCTCCCGGGCGGGCCAAAAGGGACAACAAGGGAAGGGTAGCGGTAGCGGTACTGGCACCTTTTCTCCAAGAAAAAGCTCTGACCACAACCGCCGAGAACCGATCGGGGCGGGACCGACCCCTGCCGGTGGGTTTCCTGCGGCGGTGCTCCATGCTCCTCCTTTGATTCTCTCCCATGAGTACACGTCGTTCATTTCTAATCGTGCTCGTTTCTAATTGTTCCTGGCTTTTTAGTGGCCAGGAAGAGGCCCAGGATAGAACACTTAGAAATGAAATGATCTTGGCCCCCCAGAAAACCAAAGAACCTCCGAATACTTAGAATTGAAGAATGTGTGTAAGTCCTGACGCGGAATCATCCCGCGCCCCACGCAGACGCGTGGCCGAGGCCTGCTGCTGCATCAGCCCCGCGGCCAGCGGCGACTCCAGCGGTCGCGGCGGCATGGGCCCTGGCAGCTGCTGCGGGGCTTGCCGCGCTGGCCCGCGGGAGGCGCTGGCTGCAGCGGCCTGCGCGGGCTGCGGCTGCGTCCAAGCCGCCTGCCGAGGCGGAGGGCTATAGTGCATTCAGGTGGTAACACCCGAATCCTACCCCAACGACCGATCGATTCTCCTGACTCGATGGGAGGCGGGGGTGCAGTTCGGATGTCGTCACGCGCTCGAAGCATCCCAAGCTCTGCCACCGCCGCGCCGCTGAGTTGCCTGACTCGTGGACCGGCAGGGGCGAACTTCGGATTCCGCCGCCGAGTGCTGCTGATGCCCTTGGGCAGGAAGGCGAGACATGGCCCACACAAATGTTCTCGTAGGTCCGCGCGGATCTCCTGGCCTGGCGCTGGGCCCCTCTCCCTGGCGCGCGGTGGATGGCCAGGTGCGGCGCCCGAGGCGCCGCCAGGGGGGGGCCCAACGCGCCGACCCAAGACCTCCGCGCGGGCCTCCGGTGCTGTACGGCTGTGCCGTTTGTTCTCTTCTTCGGTGGGGGGCAGGCATTGCCCTGGACGAGTCGGTGCTCGTGAGAGGCATTGCCCTGATTCGTGATTCGATCGAGGGCAGGTCTTGCCCTGGTTAGCAAGGTGGACCACCATGCGGTCCCAGGAAACTGTTGCAAGCACAGTGGTTGGGACTAGGTAGTGCTGGTGGATGGTGCGCCCGAGGTGGAGGAGGGGGATAACTCGACTCGACCCTGGCTTGGGCTCGGCAGGTTCGGTAATCACGAAAAGCAGTCTGCATCGAAGCGCGGAAGAACAGTCAACGCCGGTTGATTTGGTCAGGAGGGGGAGCAGGGCAAGGAGGAAGAGGGAGGCGACGAGGAGAAATAGGAGGAGGAGGAGGAGGAGCCCAGCGTAGGAGGCAGAAGGAGGAGGAGGAGGAGGAGGGGGAGAGGGGGGGGCGCGAGGGTCACCGACTGCCTGATCAGGCAATGCTGTCGACGGAGGCGGTGGAGGGGGCGGAGACGGATGCGGAGGAGCAGGGGAGCATCGACAGTCTATGCACCCAAGACGCTGAAATAAGGACCACTGTGGGCCGAGGAGTGGATCTGGTTTTCGGGCCGTAAGTTCCTTCGTTTCTGCCGTGGCAGTCCTCAAGGTAGCAGGGTGACTGTAGCTAGGTGCTGGGACTGCTCTGGTTTTTTGGGGGGCCCTCTGGAGGCGTGAGGAGGAAGAAGAGGGGAAGGTGTCCGCAGCAGGTGCTCCAGGTGCGGCGCTGGCCAGGGCCTGGCTGGTTCCAGCATGAAGTGCCCCCTCCTGGTCGCCAGAGTGCGCTGTGTCTGACTCATGGCCATCTGTGCCTCAATTGGCCAATTGGCCGTGCCCCTGCGCGTTTCCTGCTTAGCATGCTAGTGGCTTGCTGTGGCTGGCTGCTTTGTCTGCCTGGCCGCTTGCCTGCTAATGCTTATCAGCCTCTGGCTATTAATGCCCCGCTGAAGCCGCCCACGAATTACTTGAGGATGGGGCATCTCAGATTATGATGGCTCGGGACGGCCCAAGAGATCACTGTTCTATGATTGCGCAACTCTCTGGCACACCAAGCGTGCTCATTGCCAGCCCTTCTCTTGCGAGCAGCCGCGCAATCACAGCACCTGCTCACCTGCTGGTGGAGAAAGAGGATGCGAGACAACTAGCATCTACACCAGGGATGAACGACCATCGCGACAATGAACAAGCTCATAACGAGGTGCCTCCCGCAGCATGGTACACACCGTTCCAGGTAGGCTTGTTCGGATGCTCATAGAGGCACTTGTCGTTGGTGCAATTCGCTCCGCTCTTGCATGGTAACTTGTTGAAGTACTGTATCCACCTTGCCATGTCAGCTGGGTCCGACGGGTGATTGTTCGGACAGCTCGTTCCTAGTGGACAACAGCCTGCGAGGTACTTCATGCAAGTCTTGGCGCCGTCCATCGAACCAGTAGCATTGCTGTAGCCAGACGGCAGCATCCCGAAACCGCCCGTGGTCATGTCGGCGTACGCTGCCATGCCGAGCGTCTTCATAGGCATCGCGTTTGGCCTGATCGCAGCCTGCATGCGGCCCGCGACGCCCATGGAGGACGAACTGCTGCTCTTCGACCTCTTCTTCTTGCGACTCCTGGACCGCGGCTTGTCACTGCCCTTTCGCTTGGCCTTCCGCGAGACCCCGCCCTCGCCGTCGGAGTCCGCAACCTGGATGGAATGCTGCCTCCTCAACGCGGCCCTTGCAGAAGATGGCGCAACGGCATAAACATGAACTCTCGGAGGTCCGCGCGGATTCCCTGGGTCGGCGCTGACACCCCCCCTCCATGACTCGCGAGGCGCGCCGGGAGCGGCGCCAGAAGCGCCGCCAGGGGGGCCTGGCGCCGAACCGCGAAAGCGCATGGACCTCCGAAATTTCATGCTCATGCCGTTCTGTCTTCTCCGACCTTCGCAGCTTCCTCCACAGCACCTCCCTGCCGTACGGGTCCTTCTTTGGCATGAGGCAAGCGGGTCGTGAGTGAAGCGGGTCCTGGACCCAGGGGCCTTCCCGGGACCAGCTCTTCATCCTGAACAACTTTTGGACGGTCCCGACCCTCCTGGAAGGCCCCCAGCCGGAAAACGGCGAAGGACCCGGACACCGAGATCCGACGACGCGAACGAAAGTGCAACGCCGTGAGAAATGACCACCGGAGCACCAAATCCCATCTTTCTGCTGCATGTCGCGAACCAGATCCATCTGTGAGGGCAACAGGGCCCGGCACTGGGCGAAAACACCCGATAGGAATAAAATGCAACGCCCAGACATCGAGAAACAGACAAAAGTCCGCCGACCCTGTCGGCGTGTGGAAGAGGCTGTTCCGTTTGACTAGTCGTCGTCGTCGTCGTCGTCGTCGTCGTCGTCGTCGTCGTCGTCGTCGTCGTCGTCGTCGTCGTCGCCTTCGCCGCTCGCTTCCCACCTTTTCCCTAGGCCCGTAACGGTTCCCCCCACTTTCACCAGGTTCTCCTCCTCGAGCGCACCAGCCACAGCGAAATTGAGCACCGTTGTAGTTGAGTCTACGGGAAGCCCCTTCCCTTTGATCCCTTCCCCCGGGGGGGGGGGGTCCCCGGGGTGACGTCCCTGGGGGGTCCCGGGGGGGGGGTCCTGGGAGGGTCCCGGGGGAGAGTCTTGGGGGGGTCTCGGGGCAGATGCGACTCCCCCTCGGGCGGTTGGGCGGCCAAGAAAAGCCGCAGGACGCGGCAAAACTGCCCCAAGATGCCCCCAATGCGGTCCTCGAGAGCCCCGAATCGTCGAAGTATCGGTCCAAGTCGCCAAAGTAGCCTCCAGACGGCTCGAAAGGTTTCCAAAACGCCCCCCAGAGGCTTCCAAGAGGCCTCCAAGAGGACTTACAAGAAGGTCCCACGAGATACAAATCCGCCGACCCCTTGTGGGTCTCTAGGCGTGTGAGATAGTTCCCCCCCCTAACCCCCCCCCTGGGACCCCAAACCGGAGATTTGACCCCCCCCCCCGGGCCCACGACGAGCGCGTCACGGGGCTCTTTTAGGCCCAAAAGGGGATCAAGACGGGCCAAGAAGGCCCCAAGACTCCTCCAAGACGGCTCACGAGAGCTCCGAGGCGCCAAACGAGCGCTCCCAGACGCCCAAGATGCCCCCAAGACGAGCCTAGAGGTCCTCAGAAGGGCCGAAGCGCCGAAAATCGTCAAATTCCTATGGGAAAACGTACATTTTGATCATATACTACTTCTCGGCCTTCACGGCGTTGAAGACGGTCCCAGAGCACCCCAAGACCGCCCCGAGAGGCCCCCAAGAGGCGCCCAAGTCGGCCCAAGAGGGCGCCAAGACGGCCCAAGAGGCCCCCAAGACAGCCCAAGAGGGCCCCAAGACGGCCCCAAGAGGTGCCCAAGAGGGGGAGCCCGAACCGACAATCCGAGCCTTCCGCCCCAAGACGGCCCCAAGAGGCCCCAAGAGGCCCCCAAGACGCCCACAAGAGGCCCCAAGAGGCCCCCAAGAGGCTCCAAAACGGCCTCACAACGGCCCCCAAGAGGCTTCGAAACTGCCTCCAAGAGACCCGCGAGAAGCCCCCCAAGAGATCCCAACGATCACCGCACAAGTCTCCTATCAACAACCCCGGCACGGTGGCGGGGTTGCGTTTGCGCACAAAAAAGGATTCGCGCTCTCGAGGCCAAGATTGCTCCAAAACGGCCCAGGATGGCTCCAAAACGGCCCAAGATGGCTCCAAGACGGCCCACGACAGTTCGAAGACGGCCCAAGATGGCATCAAGACGGCCTAAAAGGCTTTCACTATCGCCCACGAAGTCTCCAAGAAGACCCCCAGGACATCTGAAAGAGGCGCACATTACGCATTTCATTACATTTCCATTGCGTTATTGAACATGTTTGCAATTGTTGCCTTTCCCGGCTTCCGTCGGCTCACGTAGCCAAACTGCCTCCAAGAGTCCCGCGAGAAGCCCCCCAAGAGATCCCAACGATCACCGCACAAGTCTCATATCAACAACCCCGGCACGGTGGCGGGGTTGCGTTTGCGCACAAAAAGGATTCGCGCTCTCGAGCCCCAAGAGAGGTCATTATGGACCCCTACACGACTCCCCAGCCCGATTCAAGCGAGCCGGCAAGACCGCCAAGATGAGGGGTCGGCGGATGTGGCGTAAGCCTATAGAATCATTGATCTCCCGTAGATGTTTGAAAGATTTCGGCATTCTCGCCTTGTCAGCTTCCCGACGCTCCAAGACAGGCCAAGAAGCCCCCAAGACCGCCCCAAGATGGCCCAAGAGGCATCCAAGAACGCCCAAAACGACCCACGAGGGCCCCAACACCGACCAAGAGGCCTCCAAGACAGCTGAAGAGGCCCCCAAGACGGCTTTAAGGAGGCACCCAGACGGGGGACCCGAGCGGACATTTCGAGCCCTCGACCAGAGAAGCTCTCAGGAGGCCCCCCAGAGGTCCCTAAGAAGCCCCCCCAAGAAGCCCCAAGAACCCCCAAGAGACCCCCAGGAAGCCCCACGAGGCCCCAACGAGGCTTCCAAGCGGCCCCCAAGAGCTACCCAAGAGGCCCCCAAACTACCTCCAAGAGGCCCCCGAGAGCGCTCGTCGTCGTCGTCGTCGCCATTCAGGGTCGGCGGCGCTGGCCGTGAGGCCTTCGCAAAGCATAAGCAAGATTAGTGCTAAAAACAACATTGCAGAAACAAACACATGTGCATATACACACACATACAACATACACTGAACACACATAACAACCGATGAACATACACATAACAACGAGACATAAACAACACACAACTTTCGCTGGTCCATGCTAATTTTTCTTGGATCGGCGCTGGCGCCCCCTCCCTGGCGCGCGGAGCGAGCCGGGAGCAGCGCCAGAGGCGCCGCCAGGCTCCAGCGCCGACCCAAGACAGCCGCGCGGACCTCCGAAAGTTTAGGTGCCCTTGCAATCGAACCCAGGGCCAGAAGAGCATCCCTCAAGAACACGAGACTCTCCGCCGGCCAAAACGCACAGAACCTCCAAGAGCACCGACTGTGTGTGTCCTTGTCCGTCCCTCGAGGACAGAAGGGTATCCCTCGAGGGCCCGTTTTGCTTCACAGCGTGATGGGCATGCCTTCCACCACCACCACCATAAGTTGGAGGGGGAGGAGGTCCTCCTCCTCCTCCTCCTCCTCCTCCTCCTCCTCCTCCTCTTCGTCCTCCTCCTCCTCCTCCTCCTCCTCCTCCTCCTCAGCTCCTCCTCCTCGTCCTCCACCTCCTCCTCGTCCTCCACCTCCTCCTCCTCCTCCTCCTCCTCCTCGTCCTCGTCCTCGTCCTCGCCCTCCACCTCCTTCCCCCTCCAACTAATGGTGGTGGTGGAAGACAGGCCCACCACGGCGGCCTTCTGCCCTGGGCCCGCGCCGGGCGGCGCGGCGGGGCCAGGCGTCGGGAGCTGGGGGCCGACGGGCGCCGCCATGGCCGCGGGCGGGCCGCGGCGCGCCCTCGCCGGGGTGGCCCCCCTGGCTGGATGCGGGCGCAGGCAGGCGCCCTGCGGCCCGACGTCGGCCAGAGGAGCTGGCCGACCTCTCGCCGTATGGTGTTCCAGGCCGCTTTTGCCTGGAGCACCAGAAAGAACCTCGAGCACCAAGAGAGTGCCGAAGCGGGAGGGTGTTCGCGTGCCGGGCCCTGGGAGGCGATGCTCGTTCGACGCGGTTTCGATACACTTTTCGGGGTGCTCTGAATTCTTTCTGGGATGTGGTCCTTACGCACCATGGGAGCAGCATAACCCTCGCCATCGCTCGGACGTCCACTCCCCGCGAACTTTTCGGCGTCGTGCGTCCGCTTTTTCTCTCGCCAGATGGCCCGAGATGCTCCTCGGTGGCCCTCGCCGGAGACAGGAGGACAACAGGGGAGAGGTCGACCCCGGTCCGAGGCTCTGGGAGGTTCTCGACTGGACCTGAAAGTTTGGGTCCGAGCCTGGGATACGATGGGGGGGCGCCCATCCCCGATAGTGGCGCATCCGAATAGACCCCGTTGGATACATCCCAGGGCTGCCTCTCTGTTTGTCTGAAGGGCCAAAGTTTTCGGGCCGAGCTCGGGGGTTGGGGACTGCACTCGCCTGCGAGATTAGGCAGACGCCTTCCGGCCCAGGTTAGCCAGAGGGGCAATTTTCACGGAGCAGCTGACGAGGCGGTGCGCCGATGGAGCCCTACGTGCCGCCACGCTGGTCCCGTGCAGGCTGTGCTGCGCGGCGGAGGGGGAAGAGGAGGGGAGAAGCAGGCTGTCAACGATGAACGCGCAAGGGGGAAGCTGGGGTCTGCTGGGCGGGCCGGCAGGCGGAAGGGGATCCGGGCGGAGACAGCAGGCAGGCAGGAGGCAGATCAAAAGATACAAGGTTAGCCAGCGTGGGCCTCAGACAGTGAGGCTCCGCCCTTCGGAGGTGGAAGCTATGCGGTGTATGCTACGCAGACAACCCACGCAGCGCACGAGGCAGCAACGACGCGGCAACGAGGCGGCAACGACGCAGCAACGAGGCGGCAACGACGCGGCAACGAGGCGGCAACGGGCGGCAATGGGTGGCCCCATGCCTGGAGCCAGCAGCAAACACCCTGAAACATATGAAGGGTTCTACCAACACACACTGGGTTGATGTTCGCTCGCCCGATCCGCTCCGCCCGTTCGCCCCGCCCCACTCGACCAGACCCCATGAAACCCTACACTTTTAATGTCCCGCCCGCCCGACCCGCCTCGCCCATTCGTCCCGGCTTGCCCGATCAGAGACGATAGGGCCTCACACGTTCACATCCCCGCCTCACCTGGTAGGCTTTGCCCACCTGCCTCGCCCGCCAGGGTCGCGCGAGAGCGGGCATGCACTTGATGAGAACGAGCAAGCAATAACATATGAAGTACACTTGCGCCGGGAAGGAAAACTGACACTTCAAATAGTAATTTCGGACCTCTCCGGGTTGAACAGCAATACAACATTAACAACAATTATGTATCACTTCTCATTGGTCAATCCGCAACCCCAGCATTTACTGTGACAACATTCAATCCGCAGCTCCAAAATTGAGAGCTTCGAACTGCATTCGAAGTTTTCCTTTGTAGGGAATTCAAGATTGAAGAAGAGCTGTGGGCTTCCAACTTTTCCATTTGCCAAATTATAAGACATCGGTTTCGATAGTCGCTGCGTTGAGTATCTCAATTTTGAAATCCCCGCCGCAGACCCAAGTCGGTTCAAGCTTCTAACGAAGCACTCTGCTGAATCGACGTATGGCAGCACACTCGCAGCAACCAGGACGATCTTAGCTATGGAATGCTCTCAACACTCCCCAGGTTTTCTCACTACTCAACAGGCCACGGGTGGCT